AGTAGCAAAATACTTTTTGTTTAACTAGCTGTACACGTCTGAACAACAGAATTGTGACAAACATATAATTAGCTTTCAAAAAACCAAAAAAACATTAAAAATAACTTGGTCTTCAATTTGTAAATACTACAGGTATAACATGTACAAATATTTAAGTATTGCAGTAACACAGGCTTCACCACAGGGCTGAGCCCAGCCCACTAAGACTGAGAGAAAACACATGGCAGGACATGCCTGAATTCACTGGACAGCCCGTACTACTCATCTTATAGCTTCTGATGTTTAAGTTGTAGCAGACAGTTCCACCACAGTGAGTATTTTAGCTTCTATTGCTGTACAAGTACTGCATGTATATCTAGTCCTTCTAGGGCGTTTTTTATTTCAAAATCCAATCCAGTTCGTTTTGACAAACTTCTCTGATTTGAAACTGCACAGAATGTTTGTACCTTGACCTACCCCCCTACCTGCTCCTCCTGCAACCCCTTGTCTCCCCCTATGCCTCCCCATAGCCCTTTCTCATTTCCTGGCTCTTTGGTTCTCTGCCTAGACTAAGTCCCTTTTTTTAGTCTTGTCTGATCTGTTTTACAAGCATTGCCCAGAGGGGCTCTTTCTTGTCTCCTTTCCTCAACTCTCCGATGCCCTTTTCTGCCCTCTCTCTCTCGCTCGCTCGGAGACGGACAAACGCAGCCAACTCTGGCGCAGAAAAGTCGGCGCATGAATTCAGATTCAGCTTCGATCGCACACAGATTGAGTCGACAGAAATATAAATAGCACTTTGGCTAAAACCAAAGCTGGCACAAAAACAGACTTGTTGTTTGTTGTGGATCTGTAGCCAAAGTTACCACTGAATCCTCACCGGCCGCAGAAATTACAGGGGAAGCGCTGTCCCTCTCCCTCTCTCTCTCTCTCTCTCTCTGCTTCTGTACACCCATCCTTCTTTTCCTTCCTCTCTAATAGTAAAGAGCTGACCAGCCCACATCTGACAGCTTTCATTAAAGACCCTGTTTATTTGGGAGTATTACAGACCCAGCCCATGGGAAAAAGCCAGCCCCCCCCCTCAGGGATTGACACTCAGCATCTGTGTGTATGTGTGTGTGTGTGTGTGTGTGTCTAAGTGTGTTGAGAGTCAAAGAGGGGTCTAATGGCCTCTGCCACTGCCTTCTTTTTTACGAGGCTGGGAACCACTTAAATGCTTCTCCTAAAGGTGCAGCGTGACTGGACAATGTCAAGGGGAAGTTAGTCCTTGTATACTGACATCTGACAAACTGTTTTGTCATTTCATATAGCTGATTGGTCCAGACTGAAACCTCTGCATTTATTGTAGCTATAAATCCAAGGAAGGAAAAAGGGATACAGGATCCTTTCAGATGTTCTCAGACAGTCCTGGTGGGAAACACCTAAAGCTGTCATGTGTCGCTACTGTCATTCTCTATCCTGACATCATAACAAGTCACTCCACTCTATTCCACTTCATACTCCTATGTTTTTCTGGCATTAAAAATGATTGACGGCTAAAAAAATAGAACACCTGGCAGTCAGTGTGGATCAGTGAATGAGCAAAAACCACAAGTAATCATGGGTATTATTCAGCAGAGTGCGCGGCCGACTGCGCTGTTACACTATTACGGTACAGACAGACAGGTGGTCCACCTGAAGGCAAGGACAAAGAAAATGAGGAAGTGTGTTTAGGGCCATGTGGTTTTGACTCTCTCACTCTTACACACACACACACATGCACGCACGCGCACTAATGCGGGGCTTTGAGTTTGGGATCAGAGTCTAGTTAATGTGTGTCCTGTTGCCAATCATTGCTCTTAAAAACAGAATTCTGTACACAGTGAAGCTAACTGTGATGATATGATCAGATACAGCACCTTTTCTTCCCCCCCGGATGCTGTTTCCTGACTCTGAATAGAAGTGAAGCTGGGAGGGAGGCAGAGGGAGAGAGAGACGGGGGTGCATAGTGGGGGTGAGGGTGGTTGTGGGGAGTTTGAGATGAGACTCATCTGACCAGAGCAAACAGAGGTGCTATTGAAGAATCCCCAGAATCGGAGAGAGACAAGGGCTCACTTTCACTAAAGTGGATGTACACTGTTAGCGTTAGCGGCTAATAGCGGGGAAAATAGACAGCAGTGTTTGTGACTCGAGGCTGTGTGTTCAATCACAAACACATGTGTCTCTGATCTGAAGTGTTTGTCGTTTTCAGAGTTTCCTGACTGTGTTTGTCTTGAACAGCAGAAATGGAAACTCTCTGAATGTCAACTCATTGGATCTGTTCTTCGTATGATTTTTTTACCCTGGCACGTTTGTCAGCGTTCAAAAGCTTAGCATGAAACTTAATTCTCCACCTTGGCAACGAGCGGCTCGACACATCAAACCCAGCTGAGAATGTGGAAACATTGATAAATGCATCTCCGACGAAAGCAGTTTACAGATGATGCAGCTGAAAGTTTGGAACAGAAAAAAAAGGTCCTGGTTCTGATGACCAATCAAAGGTCTTCACACTGTAGGATCTAACTACTACACAACCATCCAAAGCTGTGACGTATCTTAACAGGTTTTAGTTATAAAAATCATACAAATACACACACACACACATATATATATATATAAATATGTCTGTCTCGGAATTTTTTGACTCAATATCATTCATACAAACTTAGTTTCATTAGTGCAAACTACATCCTGTCCACATCCAAAAGTCCCCTCTCCGCCCTTCCCATGCCATCAGTTAGCCTCTACACTGACTAACTGATGATGAACATCCTCGTCTCTCAGCAGCATCTTTCTACTTCCCTCCCCACCCGTCCAGTGGCCCCCTGACATCTCTCATCTCTTCACACACACACCCTCTGCAGAGCTGCTTTGATTCTGGCCATTGTGCCACTGGAATCTGGGAGTTATTTTTCTTCTGTCTGGACTGGATCAGCTCTGTCACTGTTCTCCACTGCTGCTGCTGCTACTGCCATTGCAGCTGCCAATGCCTGTGCAGTAATGAGAGGCCTCCTCAAAGCTCTCTGGAGATAAACTTCAAGTTGGATTTCAGTAATGCTAAGCATCTCAAGATATGGAGTTAGAATGGTATTTGTGTTATGGCACGTCAAGGAGGAATCTCTGTCAGACTATTGACCGACGTGAAAAATAAAACAAATCACCAACCTGTCAGGAGAGTGGAAGAAAAATGATTGTTACAAAATGACGGCCCAACGCAACATATTCAATTAAATACAAATTGTGTGTCACTTCATTCAATGACACACAACCCCTGCACTCAGACATCACTGAAGTCAAATAGGCTGCAGCCAAAAACTCCAGTTCAACTAAAGACAACAACTTCTAGAACTTCTAGAACTGGAGTGAAGTTTGACCCATGTGGACTGCAGTAAAAGATGGGATGGAAAAGGTGACAGTCCAGTTGCCCATTTGTTTACTGTTTCAGATGAAATGATGTAGATGACTGGGAGTCTACAAACACAAGTCGATCAAATCCGGCGATTAGTTTCGTTGGCACTCTTGCTGTTCGCAATCGTTTTGATCGTTTAGTTCCAGTCACCTTCAGAATTTGTCCAGTTTCCACCCTGGGTTTTGTCTCTTGGCAACAGTGTGCAGTTGGGTGACAAAACAAATCTTTTTATATTTGACTAAAAACAAACCCAGTTCTCCCCAAACATGCCCACTTCATACCCAGAGCTCCAAACTAGCGTACAACATTCNNAGCAGTAACTGTCTGGATACTGGAAGCTGTGCTGAGACAGCAGTACTTATGCTGAGATATCCCAGTACTTTATGTTTAAAATTATTAGTCCTTCAAGTGTGTCTGTAGGAAGTCCACGGAGGAGTAAATTAACCTGTTGACATATAGATGTCGTATTTTTAGCTCTCTTTTTTTATTGTCATTTTAACTTTAATATTTGCCATATTTGAGCTCGAACTCTGTGGAACATATAAACCACAGGAATCCCTACCTACTTCAAACTTGTATATTTCCCCCTCTTTTCCACAACGATGCTCATCTCCATGTTTAATTGGAGGAGTCTGAGGAGAAAGACGGTGCAGACACACAATGCTGGCTTTGTGAATACCCGAGAGGTGAAGTGGTTGGTGGACGAGGGTGTAGGTTGGGAGGAGGGAAGGGGTGGGTGAATAACACAACCAGACCAAATTAAGATGTGGCAAAAGGCCAAGATAGCACCCCAGGTTTAGCACGGTCCAGGGACTGCAAATGACCCAGGGCTAAATTTCACAGGTGACACATGAGTGGAGCAATGACTGGGCAAGAATAGTGATTCTCTGACCTGTGGGCTCTTCTGGTCTCCAACGTTTACTTTCTTTTAAAAAAAAATTATGATAAAACTACGAAGACAAACCTGTTTCTGTAATTTTCCCTAAATCTTTCTGCACTTTTTTAAAACACACAAACTCTGCAATTTAACTAAAGGAATGACAAAAAGAGAGAGAGAGAGAGAGTGCGAGGGTGACGAGGGCATTGAGGACGGGACAAAATCCCAAGAGAGAGTTGTGGGGGTGTGGAGAGGGTGGGTATGGGGACAGGGTCTGAGGGTCTCTCTGGGAAGCCTCACCCAGATTAGTCACACAGAATTAATCGCAGCAAAGAACAATGGTCGCCGGGCTTCAGGCAACCCCAGCTGTCGCTCCATGAAAGAAAAGAAAAACAAGATTTAGGGGTGCCAGAGCTTGGCTGCAGAGGGCAGAGTGTGGTGGCCGCATCTCACACACCCACACCCACACCCACAGACACACAGTGACCCCAGCAGCCCTCATCAATGTCCACTCATTTTTATCCTGTCTGGGACCATTTGCCTCCCAGAAATAGCAGCACTGGCATGAGAACTCCACCTTTCGAGGTCTGACATGTCAACCAAAAAATCCAAGTCATGTCAGATTCCACAATCACATATTTGCACATAATCCAGGCAGCCCGCCTGGATTATTATTGTCTCCCCTTCACCATTCAATGCGTAAAAAAAACCCCAACCTACTTGCACTTGTTTCCATCTTTGGTCGTTTCACATGTCCCCTGGTTCAAACACGGCTCATTCAGGCATCCCAGGCCTGTGGAGAAAGAGCTTTAGTACACCTGCACATTCAACTATAACTACAAAACAAAAAAAACTTGAAATTCCACAGTTATTCGTGTTAATGTGAAGTCTACGTGTGACTTTTGCCACCTGCAGGGTGCAGTTTTTGTGGTGAACTGGGGCTTCACACCACTTTTTGGCCGAGACATGTTTTCATTCTGCATTTAAACCAAAAGGAATGTGGCATTTGGACGAGTGTTGCTGTAGTACACAAATAGTATATACCAGTGTTGGCTACCACGCTATAAATGGCTGAAATAAATCATCTACCCTTCACTATAAATCTGCGCTGTTATTTAGTGTTGAATTGAGGAAAATCACGTCCTGAAAAAGAACAACCCATAAACTAAAACACTAGGATTTGACCAAGAACAATCACTTTCAGACGGTTACTTCTTTAGGGGTCACCACAGCAATGCTTGGCACTGTTTTTGAGCCAGATGCTCATCCTTTACATCACACAAGCTGGTGTTGGGCACCAGGAGGAATTGAACCCAAAACCTTGGAATCAATCCAATATGCCACACTGGACTGCATTTCCGATAATTTTACCACATTTTAAAGTCAATGTTTCTATATTTTCCCTTAAAATAGATTTTTTTTTTTCATTCATTCATTTGTTTTTTTTAAATGAAAATATACTCGTTTTGAATGGTAAATAACCAAATGGTAATGGTAATTTAAAATCCTAAATCATCTTTACCCTGATAGCAATGGTTTAATGGGCTGATAAAACCTATAAAAACTCATAAACTTGGCTCAAAATAAAGGTTTATTGTATACAGATAATTGGAAAAAAAACTTAACTAAAAAGGTAAAATTTGTTGACGACACACGAAAATGTCCTATGAACCATTTGTGGGTCCAACCCATTCTTTATAAAACGTATTCAGAAAAGTCTGTATTTAAACAAATCACGTCACTCAATGACATTGATTTGAACTGCATCCCATCTGGACCGGATCTTAGTATTTATTTATTTCTCTATTTCACTTTTTGTCAAAACCCTTCCCTTTTACTGGAACACCGTCTCTAGCTGTTACGGATATTTTTGTGTTTCATATGTTTGTTTTTTTTAAATTCCGTTATTTTTCATTTAGTTCGAAATTTTCCCAAAGTTCAGCTGTAAAAATGACGGTTGTCTTGTTATGAAAATACTTTTTTTTTAAATATATATATATATATATTGATTAGTTGATAGTTTAGTTTCCCACATTTTTACTACTACACTGGTGAATTCCTACTAAATGCCCCCTGATATAAAGGATGGCGGAGATGTCTGGGGGCTAATGTGCCCAGACATGTTAGAGATGTCCGATGTCAACAGGTGCATGGAAGCTAATGCTAACCACTAAAGTTATTTTCATTATTATTATCTAATTAAAATACATTTTTTAAAATACAAGTTCCAGAAAGCACCTGATGTCAATAGTTGCGCCGCTAGACACCAAGCTAAAACATTAACTGTATTGACCACAACTTTGAAAAGTAAAAAAAAACGTTAAGAAAAACTTCATAAAGTTACGTGTTGCGAAACTAAAACGCATATAAACTAATAAAGTAAATGGTAGTAAAAGAACGCAACCACTCACCTCGTGTATGACCGATCAGCGACAACAGGAAAGTTAGTTTGGCAAAGAAATTATACATTCCTTCTAGTTTAACACGGTTTTACTAATCCACGTGGCTTTTTCATAGATCCGACCTTGTGTCCCCCTTTAAGGTAAAAGATAAAAAATATAAAACAAATCAAGAAATGGAAGTTCTAAAAAAAGTTTCAATTCATCCTCCAGCAGATCCTCTGTGCGAGACAGAGATGTTGTCACTTGTGTTCCCGAGTTGGAAATGACATGAGGGACGAGCTGCAGCACTGACTGTTGCTGACAGAGGGGCGTTACACACGCACACATACACAAGACACACAGCACTTCACGTAGACATAAAGCTATTTTCCTCATCTAGGGCTTTTCAACCTGTGGCTCCTGACCCACCCGTGACTCATTAGTCTCTCGGCAATGGACCAAATTGAGCCTAACTGTGCTAATAAAAACTCTGATAAATCAGATACATTTTTAAGTTGCTTGACAATAGAAAATTAAAAATATATGTTGTGTCCACAATACACGTTCTGAGTAGGATTAAAGCGGTTGTTTATGTAAAAAAAACAAAAAAAACAGTACTAATATTGACCAGCAAGGGCTGCTAAAAACATTATATAGTATATATTATATTGTAAACACACAGTTAAACAATGACATTGGTTCCAAAAAACGCTTTATATTTTTCTGCATTTTTATTTTAGTAAATATTTACTGTTGTGCACGTCTCATGGTGATATATATTTGCTGTATATAAACATAAACATTAAACAAGTCCAGTCGTGTCTAAAATGTTTACTCTCACAGCGTTTTCTGTGAGAAGCTGTTGATGGGAATCATCATCTTTGTTTTGGTTTTTCCTTTTTGCCAACTGTGCAGCCTGGCTGACTGAACAGTTTTGCATGAGCCGCTGTCAGCAGTTATTCATCAGTAAGAAAAATCCAAACTGCTAACAAACCAGTTCCCATGCACCATCTGTTTGTGATACCTCTACGCTGGACTCACTCGATCTACATGTTGCATCAATTTCAATGTGGATTCAAACATCTTTGGTTTCCGGTCCATTCATCAGCTAAATTAATAAACTTACCACCTATTCCTTCTGGAGTGTCACAAGGGGGCGATGGAGCTTATCCAACTGTCAAATCAACCTAATTCCCTAATAGGAATGTTCTTTGTGAGAAACTGTGATACCTTGAGCAAAGCCACACACACGGGGAGTACATGCAAACTCCTTACAGAAAGACTGACCAGGGAATTGAACCAGTCTTGCCGAAATGGCAAAATTTCTTACCTACATTTGCCATTGCGTGGCCTCTCTCGCCACGTTATGCACGTTAACTTTTAACTATGTACAGAGTAAATGCCTGACGTCTAAATCATCAAATGTGTTATTGACCACACAGAAACGTCTAATGACCCATTTGTGGGTCCCGTCCCACTGTTTGGCAATTATTTAATAAAAACTGTGAAACTGTGAAAGTGTAACTCAATGTGAAGGAAAACTTTTGAAGAATGAAGAAGTAGTGATGTAGCCAACAGATACATAAATGACGATGTGTGAACTTTATTGAAAAAAGGAAGTTCAGGTTTAAAACAGTGAAAACATTTGATGTGACAAACATAAATCAAGAAAAAAACTGTGATGATTACATTAACTTTTCAAAAATAATTGGTAATTTTGGCACATGTTTATCTTTGTAAATATTCTATTAATTCTTAAAAATAAACCACAAAGTGATAAACAGCACCTCCACCATGGCTGAAATGGTATGACAGCTACAGAGAGGAGAAAAATAACCACTACACGTTTGAGGCTTTTGTGAAGACGAGGGAAAAAAAGACAACAAAAGGCCTTGGAGAGACGGTCCGTGTTTAACCTACATTTTAAATCGGCCCGATGACACGCACGCTTTAATCAGATTAAGGCATCGTTACAGGGTTATTATGATGTTAATGCATCAGTCTGATTATCTTTATCGTTAGGATTGAGCTCATAATCATCTTTGCTTGTTGGCTGTTAACCTGAATACGACAGCTTTCCCACCATGTCATTTATTTGGAACAAATGTTCCTTAACTCTGCTCTAATGATTGTTTATTACTGCGTAAATGTGTATACAACATTAATAAATAGTCTAAAATGTAACTCAATGTGTCCAGAGTGTCCTGAGAGGGCGAAAAAAGAAAAGAGAGACACACATTTTAACTGTTCTAAATAAGTACCTTTTAAAATCGATACCGAACCACATATCCCTAATGGCGCCCCCTGTGGCACCACGTGTCACTTGCAAGGACTCGCACTCTACATTACTGTATAAACATTTTGTTTTATTCGTAGCTCTACTTGACGAGGCTAAGTCTCACTGGCTACGTCCCCCGAGGTGACTTCTTTCTCCTAGACTCCAGGATGTGCTGACTCTTCACATCACATCACAATGTTAGAGAAGTGACATCAGAGAGAGCTGCCAATCATCTGTCAATCATCGCTGCGGTCCTGCAGTTCATTCCCATCAATTATCACAGAACCAGGAGAGGAAACCTCAGGTTAGCTCGTCAGGTACTAATTACAGCCTGGCATCAGTTGAACAAGCCGTTTATCCCAACCTGTAATTTCTCTCTGTTGCTACACAACATGACCTCCAGCATCTGCAATAATTACAGTAGTAGCGGGAAAAACGTGGAGACTGTGGACATGAAGGGAACTGCACGGTACTGTTGACTATCGGAGTAAAACTACTGTGTGTAGTTTTAATGTGTATCATCATAGAGTGACCATAGTTCAATCATACTGACAATCACCTGTCAGTGTGATCCCCTAGATTAAAATGTAACAGCCTCCCACACCCAGAGGGCGCTATATACCCCGCTCTGGAAACCACTTCTGGTCAACACAATAAATCTCTTTTTTTACATGTCCTTGTATGTCAACAACCCTGTTTGTTGAAGGTAATATATAGAGACGTTTTCTTAGACAAGATGTGGCAAACAGTGGTCCAGGGACCGGATGTTGCCAATTAGGCTTTTAAATTGGGCCGGCAAAATTTGTCCAAATTAACTTAATATCAATATACTTCTTCCTGTTCCCTGCAATATCTGCATTTCGCCAATAGATGTCATAGAAAAGGCTAAAAGGATTTTAGCATTTTAGCCTTCACACATGACTCTTAAATGTCATTTATATTAGTTCACATAAACACTCCATCTATCTATCTCTTTACCCAGTGCCCTTGTCAAATTTTCAAGAAGATTGCCCACGCCTGATCTAGACCAAGCTGTGGCTCCTGAACAACATGCGGCTCTTTAGCCACATTTAGCCTCAGTTGCGATACATCAAAGCAGTATTATAAGTCGATAGTCGATGGGACTGGGCTGTAATGGATGCTATTGTGTTGGAACTGATTTTTTTTTTGTTTGTTTTTGGTTCAACAAGTTCAACTTTGAAATAAATTGTCAACAACTTTCTTCTCTGAATTTTTAGTAAATCTGTAGTAATACTGTAGTACTTATAATTAGTTATTTTTTTAAAAATCCAGAAACTGCAAAATCCGTGAAGATGACTCCTACAATTTGACCTTGACCTCTTACTCGTTTGACTTTTGTGTCATCTAGGTTAGCCTTTGACCTGTGTGTCAACATGTCCCATTATCAGGGTCCAGTTATTGATATCACTTTATTCTACCGACCACATGAACAGGTTATCAGACCGACTTGACCAAATTTGAACTTTAAACACATATTCAAACCAACAACCTTCTGAACCTGTCTTTTAAATCTCTCCCCATTGTGTCGTTGTTCTACAGGGAAATGTGTGCATTGTGTTGCAGTGCGACCTGGAGAGTAAACAGGATTTGTGTTGATTTCCTTCTCATTGTGTTGACCCAGGGATTGGGGGGTCGGTCCCCCCATGACCTGGGCAGCACAGATGGATGGAGAGACCCGTTCCACTTTATGGTGCTGGTGAAACACAGACAGCTGCGCAGGGTCAGACAACTATATACGACAATCTGCGGATACCAATATAGATCCGATACCTTCTTATGTCCTCCAGCATGCCGCGGGCTATTGTTGCTAATAAGATAGTGCCCCTGTTTAGTTAAGTTGAACATTTGGGTTAGTTATTGGAACAAACGTGTTATAGATATTTTTCTTCAATGTTCATTCCTAATATTTTGACCAATAACAAACCACTACCGATCCTGAGTATCAGATCCAGAGCCATCTCTACTGGAAACAACAGCCGGTAGAGTTTGGATGGACTCTTTAATCACTAAAGTCTTATGATATGATAAGAATGATGAGAAATACAAGGTAAGATAAGGTATGATAAGAAAGTTTTTTATTGTCTACAGCATTGTTTCCCAAAGACTGGGTCACGACCCTCAGGTGGATCACAAGAGTTTCTTTTTTTGGGTCATTTTGCATCATGTTTCCCAGGAGTTTATGAATAACGTCTATTGACTTGGGTCGCGAAGGTTTGTGACTTTTAAAATATGGGTCCCCAGAAAAAAAGTTAAGGAAACACTGATCTGCAGTAATGGCAAGTATGATAATACTCGTACTGGTATTTGTGTGTAAAAAACTGTCATCGGGACAACCCTGATCATTATATTGTATTGTGTATATAGATAGATAGATAGATAGATACTATGTATAGTATCATACAATATTAATGTGATACAAGTAACAATATATGTATATAAATTATATATGTATATATATATAATAATGCAAATGATGATAATGTTATAATATGCTATATAATATGCAGTAATATTGTGTGTGACCCAACACAACACAATATTCCTTCTATTGATTTGACATAAACCGAACAGTCCAAATTATCTTGGCAACATCATTAAATTTCCAGCAGTGGAACTCTCTTGACCTTTACATCTGTCATCACCGAGTCAAAGAGTTCATGTTTTCCTGGCACTCACCAAAACCCAGACTCATCCATCAGACGGCCTGATACAACAGCCTGATGTGTTACACCAGAGGACATGTTTCCTCTGCCGCGGCGTCTACTGACGGTGGTCTTTACACTGGTTCGTCTAAATAGTGGCATTGTACTGGCTGATGTCAGACTTCCTCGCAGCTGCTGGGCCACGGAGAGCCCAAAACCTCTTGATGCACACTCTCTGCGCCGGCATTAATGCCAGAGGGGGGGTTACTGAGTTACATCCAAAATCTCACCCCACAATACCACGAATGGTCGATTCAAATTTAGGGACCTCTCGAAGACGCAGTCGAGAACCTGTTGTTTATATCTGAGCTAATCCTGCATAGTTAGAGCGACTTTACTTAATTACCCTCATTATAATCCCACTGCCCGTTTGAATTCTGGACTTTTTTAGCTGCTT